CACCCTGCCAGGGCAGTTGTGCTCCCCACTTGCACTGCATTGCTGATACCATGCTGGGCCATCTCTTGTCTGTAGTAATGTTATGAAGGGTCACACCATCCTGTCTTCCAGTCAAACCACAGCCTCCATTCAACCTGACCGCTTTGTGCTCAGGCACTTATAATATTTCCTGGGAAACCATCTACCAGATCTTTCCCTTCTACTTTTTGGATGGGGACCTGGAATACCAGCTGCGTTACAAGAGAAGAAGTGAGACCTGGGAGGTAAGTGAGATGTCACTTTACCATCAAGTAGGATGTACCAGCCAAGAGGAGACTAGCACAACCAGGACAGCAGCACTGGTGTGGAAGCAGAGTTTTCATGGTTTAGAAAAGCTGTCTCTACTTGCCTGGACTGAAAACAGGCAAATCCAAAAATGAATTGAGAGCAGAAACTGTGTGGGAAGTACTAGATCCTGTGAGGAAGGCTGATAATTCATTTGATTCTCATGCTGTCCTGCATGGAAGGCTTTCAGGGCTGCTGCTGACCAGCCAGAGAATGGCCTTGCAGAAACAACACGAAAACAGAGGAGGTTACTTTGCAGGGATCCCTCACTGTGCAGCAGTGAGGGTAAAGTGGGAGCAGTCACTCCAGCCCTGAGTGTCTGGTGTTTAATTGTTCACAGAGCCAGAAGACTAAAGCTGTTCATGAAGACAAACGGACGCTCGTGATCCTGCCGTGGGAGCTCCAGGCCAACACTGAGTATGAGTTCCAAGTGAGAGCCAAGCCCCGGGAGGACAGTGGCTACCATGGGTTTTGGAGTGAATGGAGTCCTCCACTGGCACTGAAAACCAGCCCTGCCGGTACACGCTGCCAGCTCTCCTTGCCCTTCCAGTTAGTCCAGTGTCAGAGAATGCTTCCAGAACTCTCATCTAATTAATTAGAACAAATTCTAAACAGTCTAGTAAAGACAAGCATGGTTAGCTTTCTTACTGAGCACATGAGCCCCAGGCCTGGGCTGTCAGTATTAATGTTCTCACTGTGTGGCAAAGCCCACAGCAGAGGGTTTGGTGGGGTTGGCTCTAGGCTGGAGTGTCACAGCAGGAGTGCAGCCTTTAGCTTCTGTTTCAGTCTCAAATGTCCAGGGCCCTGCTTGTACTTTCAGAAATGGGGCAGACCTCCCCTACTGGAGCTTAGTGTGGCCTTCAGCTCTCAGGGAGGGGGATCCTGCCCTCAAGCCTGAGTTCTGTGTCTGGACTCTGATGTTTGGGCATGGGTGTCTCATTTGGTAGCCACCACTCTACAGGGAGTTCACAGAAGTACACTGATGCCTGTCCTGGTGGAACAGGCTATGAAAATAGGGAGTCTTTGCTCCTGTAGAGCAGGCCAAGATGAGTGTGGTCAGTGTCAGCAGCATGTGCTAAGCCTCCCTGCTCTCCACATCTGCAGCTCAAACTGAAGTGTTACAGGGTTTACATGGTGTTGTGGCAGCAGGGCCAGGCTTCATTTGCTAAGGGATATCTGAGCTGTGGATCTCAAAAATCCTCCTTTCCATCACGAGTGGAGAGTAGCCACCAAGCACTCATCTAGTCAACATCTTTCTTCACGTGTCTCTGACCAGCTGCACTCTCTTTTCTCTTCATGGATCATCCAGGGAGGTGTCCATAAAGCAGGAGTTAGAAACACCAGAGGTCTTCGTGGCAGGGAGCTGTCCTACTCCAAGTGCATTGGCTGTCCATCTGTGGTGCAACCAGGCCATAGGGCAGCTGATGCTCCTTTCATTGATGCAGTCTTCTCTGAGCGTCCTCCTTCAGACCTCGTGTCTGGAGTGTCAGGGCCCAGGTGACAGTCCCAGTGTCCTTATGAGAGAGTCTGGGGGAGAAATCGAGGGTGTCTCATAAAATCATAGAATCCTTTAGGTTGGAAAAGACCTCCAAGATTGTCAGGTCCAACCTTTGACCAATCACAACCTTGTCAACTAGACCATAGCACTGACTGCCATGTCCATTCATTTTCTGAACAGCTCCAGGGATGGTGACTCCACCACCTCCCTGGGCAGCCCCTTCAGTGCTTGACAACCCTTTCCATTGCAAAAACCCTTTTAATCCTCACTATCCTCCTGCCCGTTCACAAGGGTAGAAATGCAAGGTGAGCCTGAATAACCCCATCTCTTTCTCCAGCAGTGACACAGACAGCAGGCATGGCATGGCTGCTGCTGTTTGGTGTTGTGGCAATCATGGCCTCAATCACAACCTTCCTGGCCAAACAGCAGAGGTAAGAACACTTCAGGAAGTGGGAGAAACTGTTCTTTTTCTGTCCTGATAAAGATGGGGTGTTCACATTCAGCCTTCTTCACATCTTGTATCCCTATGCATGGACAGCCATGGGCCGTGAGGGCCAGCCAAGTATGGGCTCTAGCTGGTGTACTGCCAGGAGTGACCTGCTCTCTCCTGGGGCTCTGCTGCCATTCAGCTGACTGGGACAAAGCTGTGGTACCTGGGGATGGAGCAGGGGCTGCCCACCCTCCCGAGCTGTTCCCCTGGCCTTGCTGGTGCTCTGCATTTGCCAGATGGAGCAGTAGCCAGGGGTGAGCTGCTCCTTTTCAAAGCTGATGCAGGTCCCTCAACACTGGCTGGAGCCTCTCTCCCTTTTGGAGGGTCCCAAGCCCTTGCAGAGGGATGGGGTGCTAACACAGAGGAGGGCTGAGCTGGCAGCAACAGGGCTGGCACAGCCCAGGTCCACAGAACAATGGCACAGGGCAGAGTTCTGGCCTGCAGGCCACAAACCAGCCCAGCCCAAGGGGAAAATGCATTTCCAGCACTTGGTGCTTTTCCAGGAAGGAAAAAATTGGAACCTTTTTCCTTAGCATGAATATGTGTGTGCAAGTGCAGAGGCCTCCCCTCCTGTGAGGCTCACAGGAAAGGCCAATAGATGGCTCTGGCAGCACAGGACATCCTTGGATCCTCAGCCACTTGCTAACTCCTGAGGCCAGACAGGTGATCTCAGTTGCTTGAAATGGATCTGGAGATGCCTTACTTTGCCTCTGTAATGTGTGCTTAACCCCAAAGCCTTTCTCTTTTCTCTTCTAGCTTGTGGAAGAAGATGGTTTGCATCCCAGACCCTGCTCCCTTTTTCAGACCTCTTTACCTGGCACATAACGGAGATTTCAAGGTATTAATGGGCTGCACGAGTGAGTGGAGCACATGATAAACTAAAAAGCCATCATGCTATCCTGGGCAAGGGATTCTCACTAGGGCAGTGGAGGGGAAATCTATTTCAAGGAATGCCAAACAGCTCCAGATATAAGGACCAGAGCTCTCCAGTGTCCCTTCTGCACCATGAAGATCTTTGTCACATCTGTGCCCCTTATTCTCTGTAGGTGCTGTCTGTGTGAGCTGAGTTCATGTGATTTGTGAAGCCTGGGACCCTGACAGGAGTGCAGAAAGGGATACCAGGACAGTAACTGGGATCTTTCCAAAGCTCTAGTCCTATGCTGCCATAAAGGCCATGGCACAGACTCGATTGTAGAGCCAGATCTCCCACTCCAACCTCTGCAGTGACACAAACTCAACCTTAAGCCTTGTAGTTTGCTCTGAAGAGTCACTCATACAGGCAATAGTTATGCATATCATCCTGGAAAGATGGCCAGAGCTTTGGGGGCAAATAACTGCTATGTGATAGTACAGTGCAGCTGCCTCCCTATGATGGAAGTGTCTTTGAGTACCTTTGCCTAGTCCTCCCAAATTCTCTTCTCATTTAACATCAGCCAAACCTGCTCATGTGACAAAATGGTTTGCAAAGGCTGCAGAGTTTGCTGAAGTTCTTGGGATACAAAAGTAAAAAGCACATTGAGCATCCATACATAATGATTTTATTAAGCTGAAGAGCAGCTCACAATGCTGTTATCAGGCTGTAAAAGTGCTGACATATGAGTGCAGACATCGCTGCCTCTTTCTGAACAAGTTCCTGTTATTACAGCAGAACTGATCAGAGACACTTCAGCATCTGCTTTTTGTTTCTGCTTTTTCTTACACCCTCTGGGAGAGGGACACCAGCTGGGCCCTAATGATCTCCATGTACTTTCCCACTGCTGCATGGCTGATGTGTGTAAGGAGGTTAGGCCCGTAGCCTGGGAGGGGTGATACTCAAGCTGAGGCCTGCAGTGACTGTCTCCCTTCCTTCCTGCCTTCCTCTCTCAGACCTGTTGTGGCTTCCTATATCTCCACCAGAGGGTTACTTGCATCTTCTGGTGAGGCAGGTGGCACTGGTTGCTCTCAGGAGGAGGACCAGGTGGACCAAGTCTGGGAATTCCTGAGAGTCATGGGCTAGTGCTCACAGTGGCAATGCACACAGCCTGCACACCAAGAGCCATGCTCCTCTCAGGTGCATCCGTGGGGTTCTCTGTTCTGGGCACATTACATTCTTGCTAGTTTCTAGTTAGGCTGTTCAGTGCTGCTGGGAAGGGAATGAGCCTCAGTTGCTAAAGTTGAGTTGTTTCCTAGTAAATGTGCAGGTTAAAGCAGCAGTTGCCTACACAGCCACAGCACAAGATGTACAGACAGGGATGCCAACCAAGGATGTGGTGACATCACTAAGAAGTGAACAGACTTGTCATTTTTGGCTGACAAAAACCTGATTGATGTAGGTCTTATTCAACTGCATCCTGCTTGCATCAAAGAAATGTGGGTTTTGTTAGGTTATATCTGTGAATAATGTTACAAATTACTGCAGAGAGCAGTCCTGGGTTGGGTAGGAAGCAGTGAAAATGTTAGAGAAAAACTTAAGATGTACAAGGGAAAGCAGAGAAATGCTGTTTATTCATGTTTGTACATGAATCCTTAGATTCATATTGAGTGGGAATTTGCAAAGAACTGTCAAGAGGGAATAGGAAATTCTGCCTACTCAATTCTAAGAAAAAGATTTTCTGCTGTTTCTTCAAATAACCTGTTGCACCTTAAATGCCTTTCTGTATATCACAGCTTTAATAATAAGTCCTTTGTAGCTTAGGTTAAAAATGAATTCAAATAGACTTGGTGCTTCCTGCTGTAACAAAGATTTTTTTTTCCAAGCCCTCTGTCAGAGGGCAATAAACTGTGTCAAGCCATTCTTTTCTCAAATACTTTGCTCATGTATAGTTATGCTGAGAGCAGTTTGGGACTGGAGGCCAATAGGATTAAGGCAGTCTGGCAGCTGTGGCAACACTCAGCTCTCATGCAGCACTCTGCCAGAAACCTTCCCAGTGTTTATGAAGCACAGTGTTCTTACCTCTTTTATACACAGCAGAAAGTGGTGCACTTAGAAGAGCCTTGACACAGCTCAGCTGTTAAGTAAGTGGAAGACAGGGAGCAGAACCAAGTCATGAGTCTGTGCTGTGCCCATACTCAGCACTGCAGAATCCTCTAGCAGGATTTCCTGACATTCATTAGTGGCACATGCCTGAAGTTTGCTGTGATCTGAGTGTCTGATTCAGTGACTTCTTCAATAAGAACAGAAACTTTTACTTTGGTCTTAAATCATAGAAATCCAGAAGTGCTTTACTGCCAGATGTGCCTGAATGCAAGGGGCTCGTGATGTAGAGAGAATGCCTGGTGCAGGGCAGAGTGTGATACTAACAATGATACAGAAGGGCAAGATTCATTGCGTGGCACTCCCTAATCATCTGAGTAAGTGTTGCAGGTGGTGGCTACAGCTCTGTGGTCCCCATCCCCTGCCTACTTCTGTTTCCTTCTTGTTACTGTGAAAGAAAAGGCTGTTGCATGGGAGAAACCTTGCCCTGACCCCCTCCCCAGGAAACTGAGGCAAGGGGAGTGAGAGGCCAAGGCTGTGTGTGTGCTGGGTGCAGGTGCAGCACACAGGGAGAAGCTGACCATCCTTCCCAAGAGAAGCAGCATTCAGGACCAGAGGGAAGGGGAGACTTGGTGGCTTGGCTTGGGACCTCAGGCTGATGCATGAAAGAATGCCACTATGGGCAGTGGCATTCTTTACAGCATAGAGAAAACTGCAAAGCCATGAAAACTTCTCAGAGCTAATGATTTTTGATTACTTCAGTCAGTTCTCCTGCAGCTGCCTGTGTCTGGTAGTAACATCTCCTAGCCTGCTACACTGGAGGAGTCAGTTTTAGAGTTTGACTTTGCCTCTGAAAATTTAAGAACTTAGGTCATTTCTGTGGAACCTCAAACCTTGTGATATTAACCTCTCTCTCCCTGTATGTCTTTCTACAGAAGTGGGTTGGTGCTTCCCATATGAAAATGGCCTTCGATTTCTTTGACTGGGGAATAGTCCTTCCAGAAGTCCTAGAAGTTTACAGCATGAATCCTCCCAACAGCACCTCACAGGAAGAGCTGCATGAGCTGAGAAAAATTCTGCCTTGCAAGCCCTGTGTGTCTTGCCTGACTGCCCCAGGTCAGGATAGCCAGTCCCTGTGGTCTAGTGTGAACAGCAGTGGTGGGACCGAGGACCAGTCTTATGGGCACTTGTCCATTGATACAGTGACTGTGGCTGATGAATTTACACCTTGTAACTGCCAGTGCAGCTGCAGCCACGAGCACACCAAAGAGGAAGATGATAGTGCTGGAGAACCTGGTTACCCCAAGGTTAACATTGATGAGGAAGACAGAAAGATACCCAGTGGCTTGCATCTGGCTGACCTGACCACACAGGACAAAATACTTGCTTCAGGCTCTGTGTCCACAGACCACCTGAGGAGTACAAGTCTCCTAGCCCATCAGCAAGTAGGAAGGGCTTTGGAAGGAAGGGTGGGGAACATCCTAGAAGCCCTTTGCTTGCAGCCTAATCAGTGGGATTTGGAAAATCCAGGTTCTCTACCTTCTCCTGACGGTGAAAGTGTTTCCTACAGTGAAGGCTCCTATGACTTCTATGCTCACAACACAAGGCCTGGTGACAGTTACCCTGTGATCTGCGTGGATTTGGACACTATTGACAGTGGCTTTGTGGACTCAGACTGTGGAAGTCCAGTTGACTGTGAATTTGAGCAAAACAGTCAGACCAACTCTGGGCCCATCCCTCTTGAGCAGGAGCAGGAGGACTTTCCACGGAGCTATGTCAAGCAGTGGGTCTCCTGTGGCCCTGACAGCCCTGTTAGTGGCACACAGACAAACTAAGGACTTGGTGTTGCCTGGCAGAGTGTGGGGCCTTTCTCGTACTGTGACAGGAGCAAAGTGTTAGCAAAATTCAGAGGAGAAGCAAAGTTTACTTCGTGTGAGCTCTACTGCGTACGACCAAAAACTATATTTTTATTGCCACTTATCCTCTTAAGGTCTCAAACTTGTTGTGATTGATTGTTTCTGGGTTTTGGGTTGGTGTTTCTTAGAATCCAAGGTCAACCCCCTTATAATGTCTGAAAAAAGCAACTGTACCTTGAAAATCATTCCTTGGCTTATGTAGATGTGCAAATTTTTTTCAGTAACCTTATAAAGAGTACAGAGCTTTATATTATTTCTCCTGGTATTCTCACATGACTTGAGAGTTTGCTGTACATGGACTCTTAGAGGCATAACTCATGGTGAGCATGTTTGCTACATTAAAGTTCCCCTACCCTTTCCAAACAACACAGGCAATGTCAATTTTCCTGCTACTGTCTTTGGCTCTTTAAACCCAGCTGGAGCAGTTTGTTAATTACAGAGGGTCCCAGCCCTGTCCACGGGGTATAATCAAAACCAATTCTTGAGTGTCTCCAAGAGACCAAGCACAATTCAGGTTTCAGAAAGACTGTGTTTCCAGGGGGAGTCTGCAAATGCAAAGGCTTCAAAACATGTAATTCCAGACAATTCTCGCTACTAAGTCTTTACTGAATCAGCTTCTCTCCCAGCACTTTCCAAGCATGTTAACTGAGCAGCTTGTAGAACTATGCAGAATTTCAGAAATGCTGTCCTACCTGGATGTGGCTGTAACTGCATCTCCTGCCTTGGCCCTGCTCTGCTGCAGCTAACAGGTCAGTAGCACAAATTTTGAGCCATTTCTGCTAGCTAATAAAGCCAAATATGAAACTCCTGTTTGCACTGTAACTGTGAATCTGTTTCCCTCTGACACCTCTGTACCTGAGTTTGTTTAGGAAAATTGTATTGAAGTGTCACTGTACTACTGAAATTGAATGTGAAGACCTACATCTTCTGTAGGCTTGGTGCTACTAACCCAGAGGCTGCTTGGCTCACAAGAGTCCATCCTGAGAGAACCTTCATGGTGAAGGATGTGTTTCCAATACAGTAATAATCTGTTGTTGCTGTTATACCAATAAACTCCCTTCCCTCTCCTCCCTCTCTTGCCTGAGACTGCAGCCAACCCCACAGCTCCCTACACAGGAGGGAGCACTGTAATGAAGAGAAGCTGTTTCTGTTACAAGTGAGTGCAAGTGAGCATTGCTATGCATGGACAGCCCTGGTTGGACTGTTCAGAACAGCAACAGTACCTGCTATGTTGATTTTGAACCTATATGGCTCAGTTTTGCCCACGTGGTTATTACTCCAATATATTCCTAGCTCAGTGGTTTCTTGGGCACTGCTCTAAGATAGCAGTTTTTTCAGTTCCTTCCCTCCTTATTTTCCATTTTTCTTGTCATCTGCTGTGATGAGTTGTGGGAGGTGTTGTCTTCACGTGCTGGTGCATCCTCCCTGCTGTCTCCCAGTGCCCTGCCTGCCCTGCACCAGGCAGCAGAGGACCAGAGCAGCTGAGCCTGCCCCAGGCTGCCCTGCAGGGCTGTTTGCACCGTGCCCATGGGAATGGAGAGTGGGCAAAAGCATTTCTGATGATCTCAACACAGTCTTCTGCAGCTTTATCTTGTAACTCTTTCTCCTTAAGAAGCTGCATTGTGTTAAGTGACCCCAGGCTGCTGGGGGAGGAGGGGAAATTTGCCTGTCTTCTAGGGCTTTTTCCCTGTCAGTTTTGTGTGCTCTTTGTTTCTGTTAATGTTGTTGGCCCCAGAACTGCTGAAGGAGCTGTTTCTGTTATTGCAATGCTATCTGCCTGTACATCTGATAGAAGGTGGTGGGTTTGTGCTATGTTGGGCTAGAAGTTCCCTCTGGTCACCCTAGGAGACACTTCATGGGCAAGTGTGTGGCATGAGGGTATTTCAACAAGGGAGGCTGCTCCCTTTGAAGCAAGCTCATAACAAATAAGCTTTTGGCCAACGAGTTGTCACTGTGGATGTGGAGAGGTTTGAGGTGGGGTTTTCTGAGTGCCTCCTAGGAGCAAACTGAAAATGTCCCTAACCTAGCAGTATCTAATCTGGAAAAATTGTGTTTCCCCAGGAATTCTAGGGCCAAAGATCAGGTACTTGGAGAAGCATCATAACTCATTCTGTTGTACCAGTTTGGAAACATCCATCTCCACACAGCCCCTGCATCCCTGTCTCTTGGCCCCAGAAGTTGATACTGATGGACTATTATTCAGTTTGTGCTTAGTCTGCTCTCTCCCTTATCTGGCACTAGACCCACGCACAGGACCGAGCTGATGGATCCTGGCTGTAACACTGCCACTGCAGCTGGGCATGGGAAGAGCTGTTCCTTATGCACTCTAGGACTGGGACATGGAAGCACTCAATGCCTGTTTGCCTTTGCTTCCAGAGTTGCCCTGTGAGCACAGTGCAGCAGTTGGCTCTGGAGGCAGTGCAGGACAGGCAGCTCAGGGCTGCTCCAGAGCTCTGAGCACACTTGGGCAGGGGCCTAGGGTGGAAGCAGCTTCACCTTACATCCAAGCAGGGCTAGGAAATGGCTTTAGGTCACATAGAAAGCTCTTTTGTTGGCCTTTTAAATAAAATTTGCAAGCAGATACATGCATATTCAGCAAAGCACTTGGCCTCTTAAATGTTAACCCTTTAGTAGAAATTCCTCAGTTTCTCCATCACTAGTGAGTAATTGCAGAAGCAGCTACTTTAACTCAATCTGATAATCTGAGCAGTTTTTCATTGGTTCTTGAGATTATCTTTAAAATCGGGCACAGTAAGCTCTGCTTTATTATGCTGCTGCTGCTGCTGCCTGATCATCAAACCACACAGCCTGAGCTATCAAGGGGCAGGAGCAGCACAAAAAGTGACATTGCCTTTGAGCAGGTAAGACAGTTTAACATATTTCTGTGCTATGCATGCCAGTACACAATGTTGGGATACATCTGCTGAGCCAAGATATTGAAAAATATTTTCTTTACCTAAACGTGGAATTCTATATTGCTTCTTGTGCTTGGAACCTAGAACAAAAGAATCACCACAAGGGTCTGAGTACCAAACAACACTATTGCATTAATCCTGGTGGATTGTGCTCAAAAGAAGGTCCACCCTGAACAAGTGATTTTTTTTAGGTACTCCTCCCTGACTGAACGAGATGAGTGTAAAAGAGTCCAGACAAAGTAGTCCTCAGTGCTTGGGACTTTGCAGACAAAGATATACTTTTTTAATGTATGTGTGTATGAATGTTGCTTTATTGCAGTAGTCATCTTCTGTAGCAGCTTTTTCCTGGGATCCAAGTGTGTCAATCTAAAAGGAGATGGCTGTTCATGAGCATCACATTGTGGAAAAATGACTCCCCAAAGATGAAGGGAGAAAAGGAGTGGTTGTATGGGTTGTCTCTGAGAACCTGTGCAGATGAGAAAAGCCAACTACTTTTTCCTTATTTCCCAACAGTTTGCATGCTGATCGTGTGAGTCTGCTGAGTGCACTCGATGTGCTTCTGTCAGACATGTGCTTAGAGGCCTAGGGATCCAGAAGGTAGATAATCTATGCATCACTAGGTCATGTTGAACTTCTTGTCAAGATCAGTATCTTGCTGTAGGAGTGAGAGCAAGCAGAATACATTTTGAAAGAGTCCAGAGGCACTGCCAAATCAGAGCCTGAAGCTTCTGACTTCCTCTAAGATTTTGGTGAGCACGGAGGACCACAGGAGTGAGCTGCAAGAACAAATTACACTGACCAATGTTCTCCATATGAGAGTCGGTGGCAGAGGTGGAATAGAACTGAGGAGCTGTGGCTGTCTGCTGTGGGCTGGCACATAATACCACAGGTATCAAAGGATACTCAAGCATGGTGAAATCCTTGCTCATGCTCTTACGTGACACTTCGTGTTTTATCAGGCCTTTGTAAAGCTGATCTTGTCTTACTTGTAGTCACCCAAAAGTCAGTGATGCAAAGGCCCTTTCTGGTGTCCATCCCTTTGAATCCATTGCATTTCTCTAGACAATTCTCTCTGCATCTCATCAAAACTGAGCTTCTTGTCCCCACTTCCAGTCACTGACAGCCTTGCCTTGTCCTCTTGTCGTATCTCCCTCTGCCATCAGGAAGTGAACTCTATGATGTCAACTTCCACCTCCCACTACATGATTAAATCAATTACTCCTAACCATCCTCCTTGCTGCTGCTCACACACTGAAGGTGCTGCCTACAGTTCTCTTGGGCTACCTCAACCTCATTCTGCAAGTCTCCCTGTAATGCTCGAACCCAGATGATATCTAGGCTACCCCCATGACTGTGTTGTCACCTTCTTGTACTACTTCCCCTCTCAGTGGTACCTATCAAATAATTTATTTTACTCTGCAGACTCTTAAAAGAAAGGGCTATCATTTTATTGAGTGTTCCACTGGCCCCCAAATGTGGGGGTGAATCCCTCAGAATGGATTTCTGGTAACAGTGACAGACTTAGCAGTAAAAGTTGATCCTCTCTGTCTGTTGACAGGCAGTTGAGAGCATTTGGAAAATCTATGTTATACAAATTCTGGTTTAAATTACTTTTGGGAAATGGAGGCAGCTGATGGAACCACAGGAAGGGAGGGGAAAGGCATGGCTGAAAGGCCTCGTTTCCTTGAGCAGCTAACAGGCAGAACTCTGCCCTGGAAACAGCAAAAGGATGGAAACACCATTGCAATCACTCAGCTCATGTCAGGGCTTTACTCAGAGGTTTGGTCTCTCTCTGCTGCAGAGTGGTGGTGGTTCTCCCCTTCCTCTGACACCAGTTTTCACAGGGCTTTTCTGCCCTCACCCACAACTCCAGAGTCTTGCAGAGACTGGGCATTAGAACACAAAAAGCATCAAGCAGCCTTGCTGAGAAGTTGATTTGTCTTCCAGTGCTAGCAGCTGCTGTAAGAGCACCTGTGCCACTGGCACTGGGCTCCCATCTGAGCTGAGGGGGTTTGTTCTTTAAGATACCTCACCAAGACTTAGGGACTATGAGTCTTGCGTCCCGTGCTTAGGCAGGAG